AGATGGCCAGACCAAACACTAATTAATATTCGAAACGGGGGCAGCAGCTCTTTAGCCCCAGGCCTGTCGGAACAGCCAGGTTTTAACGGCTTTGCGGAAGGCCTGGAGGGTGGTGAGGGTTCAAATCTCCACGGGGAGTTCGTTCCATGCCCCCCCTGCAAATACCATTTCACTTAATCCTAAAGTGATTTGCTTGAGTCTAGTTCAGGGGCCAGCAACCGGCGGCTCTGGAGCTGCATGTGGCTCTTTCATCCCTCTGCTGCTGCTCCCTGTCGCCGGTTGGCTCATAATTGATAGGGCTTTTGGTTAGGACAGGTGGGAAGAAAAAGGACACCACACTAGGAGGAGACTCTATGGTGGGGGAATCAGACTTCCAATCGGCTCTAGAATTGAACTTCTGGTTAGGACCTTTGTGGCTCTTTGAGTGTTCAAGGTTCCGACCCCTGGTCTAGTTAAATCCTTTCTGGCTTGAAAACTATGTTTTATCATGAACACCAAGTAGTGTTTCCCAAACTATTTCCTTCATTATCTAAACCAGTGTTTCTCAACCTTGGAGAATTAAAGAGATGTTGACTTCTACTCCCAGAATTCCACAGCTAGCCTTGCTGGGAATTCTGGGAGTTGAAGTCCACACATTTTAAAGTTGCAAAAGTTGAGAAACACTGAATTCTAAATCACTTATTAGAAAGTCTTATCAAACTTTGAGGACTGGTCAAAGTTTGTTCCTTCAGCATTGTCCTAATTTTAAACAATCATCCAACAGATGGTCACAACTTGAGATCTACCTCTATCATAAAAACAGTATCTCTGAATGATCATTATGATCATTATTACCATTGGTGCCTTCATTGATTTTTGCTTTAATAGGAATACTTTGGGAGAGTTTTGAATATACTGTGTTTTAGTATGTTTGGCAATTTTAAAGCCTATTTAAATGCCTCTGTTGTGTGATGGGTAGTGGCTAGTGGGTTTTTTTGTTACTCAAACAAAAATCACTTTTAGTCAGTTTTGGGTAATCCATATACAGGTTTGGGAAGCACTGGCTTAGAGCTATGGGGGGAAATAGTCAACCGTGTTTTACTCAACTGATTATAATCAGAAAAGGTCTTTGGGACAGAAATCTGAGCAACCAAATGAGAAGGACTTCTGAATGCAGATGGCAAAGGACTAGCCTTAACATTGGGCAGATTGCAGGAGATATTGACAAGGTCAGCAGCAGCCATGGGATGCTCATTTCTTTTGAACCCTTTCCTTCCCAAAATATTTCACTATGTTTAATATCCTGTAAGCCACTAAAATGCTCCCTCAAAAATGCCATTACTGCCCTAGGATTGTCGGATGATTTATATGCATGCATGAGGTGTGTAAATAGGATCCACTAAATGCAATGTGTGAATGCATCCAGGGACAGAATCTATAAAAAAGGGCAAATCTATTTTGTCCTAAATCTTCCAGAAAGTCATCCAAGAAAACTGGCCAATATTGAAAATCCTATAGAATAAAATAGGACATGACCATGAGGGAATACTCTTTGTAATCAGTTTTACCTAGAATTAAACACTGTCATAATTCTCATCCCTTTCTCTCAAGAAGGTTATTGGGGAGTGAGAGGAATCATATATAGTAGAGAACAATAGCACTAGTCTGAAAATCTATATTGTGAGGAACAGTTACAATGGGAGACTTTTACTTTTGAAAGAAAAAAAATGAATCAGTCAGTGTGGCAAAAGAACATATTAAGAGTTCCTACAATTATAAATACACTGTGGAAAATGTCTATGGGGATTCCTAGTCATCCAGGTCATGATTGTCTCAAAAGTGCTTTTTCAAAAGGCAACTGGCCTTTTTTTGTTTTTGTTTTTGAAGATCTCATTTCTCATCCAAGAATCATCCCAAGATTCATTTCTCATCCAAGAAGACCAGGAGAGACATGATAGCAAGCAGTGTTCCAATATTTCAGGGGCTGCCACAGAGAGGAGGGGTTAGGGTTAGGGTTATTTTCCAATGCACCTGAAGGCCAGAGAAAGAATAATGGATGGAAACCGATCAAGGAGAGATTCAACCTAGAAATAAGGAGGAATTTCCTGACAGTGAGACCAATCAACCAATGGAACAGTGTTTGCTTTTGGAAGTTGTGGGAGCTTCATCACTGGAGGCTTTCAAGAAGAGTTTGGACTGCCATTTGTCGGAAATGGTGTAGGATTTCCTGCTTGAGCGGACGGGTGGTGGTGGTGGTTGGACTAGATGACCTATAAGGTTCCTTCCAACTCTGTTAATCTGTTAAAAGCTGTCTATTAAATCTGTTTTTAAAAAACTTCTTCAGTTCTTAGATGAGAAGTGAAACATCTCCAAGGAAAAACAAAGAAAGTTGAGTTGCCTTTTGAAAAAAACACCTTTGGGACTGTAGGAAGTTATCACTCAGCCCTCTCCCAGAAAAATGAAATATCCTAGGAAATATTGAAAAGGCAGAATATTTCTCTGGATCTGAANCTAAAATATTTCATTTTCTAGGAGAGGGGTGGGTGCTTACTTCCTACAATACCAAGGGTAAACTGAAACTGGGTATTAAGGAGGAGATTTAACTCAAACAACAAGATGGATAGAATAAAGTAAAAATGTCCTTAAAAGATACAGGTAAAGGATTCTCCTGCCAGTCGTATCTGTCCCAAGGGGCTATGCTCATCTCAATTTCCTAGCTGAGGAAACCAACATTGTCCAAAGACTCTTCCATGATCTTGTGGCTGGCATAACTACAGTATATGCAAAAAGTGCACAGTTATCTTCCCATAAAAATGGTACCTATTTAATACTTGCACTTATTTGCTTGCAAACTGCTAGGTTGGCAGGGTAAATAATGGAAGCTCAGTCTGTCATACAGTATTTAAGTCTTGTACTGCCTACCTTCCGGTCAACAAGCTAAGTGTCTTAATGGATCTCTCCCGATAATATCTTCGCTAGGTTGTTAAATACTATCAAATACTTATGTCTGATGCTGAGAATAAAAATCTGGCTCAGAAACCTTGATTTGTTATAAAACGTTGGTATAAAGACTTCATACTGTACAATCTTAAGAACAAACACGAAAGAAAATAACAAACCAAGATAGTGTCACTAATCAATGGTTTTATTCAGGTTCTGGTAAGGGTTAAAAAACAGATGCTAATTATCTTTGAGGTCTAAATTCCTGTTAACAAAACAAATGAGGAATTGAAAAAGAAATAAAAGGAAATGGGGGGGAAAGGATTAACTATTGAAAGCTGCTGAATTAAAATACACTTCCAGATTTTGGCAATTAGTATCTTCATCTCTCTGGGACTTTGCTTTGGAATGTCATATATCCCAGCTATGAAACAAGAAGAATATTTTCATGCTTTATATGCCCACAAGCTCAGTCCTACAGTGTCTTCGGAGCCCTGCCCCTTTTCTTTCCTATTTTGGTATCAGAGGTTGTTTCATTAATCAATTAACAGCTGGAAAAGCAGTAGGGCAGATGACCTAATTCCCCTAGAGCGGATTAAAAATAATCTGGATTTGCAGGCTTCAATCTTAATGTCTTTTATATAGATAGCACAGCCATTTATACAAGACAAGAGGGTAGGGCTAGTAATGTTTTAGAAGGGAAAAGAACAAAGTGGCTAATTACTGCCTGGTTTTGTTAAACCTAGTTAAGACCGATATGACATCTATACCAGAAGTACACAAACTCTACCACTTTATAATGCCTTGGTAAGGCCACACTTGGAATACTGCATTCAGTTTTGGTCNTTCTTTCATTTCACCACCCCCAACCCATGAAGTAAGTTGAATTGAAAGATAGCGGCCAGCCTAGTATATATGTTTCTGCAAAATTCTAAACTGAGGGGAAAAAAGGGAACTGTCTTCTCATAAAAATTTAAAAGGAACTAAAAATGGAAATGTTCTCACTTTTCTTTATATTTCATGCTAATATATATGCATATCCATAATCTGACATATTTTAGATTCATAAAGAAGTGAAATAGTTATATTTTGGTTTAGAAAAATAAAGCAAAATAACCTTATTTTATAAAGCTGCTCAAACAATAAACATATTAAGACCACAAAGAGGGTTTTCTCAACAGAACCCTGACGCTGTAGCTGTGCACTCTTACATCTTGCTAAAGCCATATTAGCTAGTAATTAAAAATTAGCCTCAGCAGATTTTGAAGTTTTCCAATTTAATGCATGTTGTTTCTGGACACAAATGCACAGTACAGCTGGTTGCAGGTCAGCTAAAAGCTCTATAGATCCAAAGAGACTTAATTAGGCCACAATGCATGAACTTGAATCATTACAACCTGCTTGGCAGTGACACAGACATACATAACCCTTTCACCAGAAGAGGAGCGCATAG